GGTATATGTATTTATCTCTCACCGATTTGACGTGAATTGGCCAAAGACATTGTGCGATTTGACCCTGCCATACTATTTCTAATGGAGTTTTCTGAAGTTCCAGATCTATGCCAATAAGCTGATGAATCGAAAGTAAACATACCCCGGGCCATCGTTCGAATTCAGGCGCAGCTTTTCAATATATTCATTGAAAACTAAATCGCTCGAATTCGGCCCTGTTTTCGAAAAATCCCGCGAGATCGCTAAAAATACCAAAATAATACTTAAGAGTGCCGAAAAACCCCTAAAATACCGAAACATTTCGAAAAACAAAACGCGACGAATCCTGAAAGCTCCCAAAGGTCTCGAAAAATTGGGAAAATAATCCAAAAATGTCTCGAAATATGTAGTCCCGAAAAACTTGAAAAACCTTGAAATATTTCGAAAAATTAAACACGAGAAATGCTCAAAAGTCTTGAAAAGTTTTGAGAAGTGTAAAAAAGTAGAACCCTTCCGACAAGATCTCATAAAACCCGAAAAATCACAAGCCAATGTTAATGTCAAAAAGAGCACATAATAACACAGCCACACAAAAAAAAATTTGTGTTCTGACCCAAAGGTCTCACTATGTGTACTTTATGTTTTTGGGGTCGCTGAATCCGAATCCGAGGTCCATTTAACCCCATCAGTTCAGGGTTTTGATATAACCCCAGAAAACCAATATGGCGGACACCTTTTGGAAAAATTCATCGGATTCGCTTGAAACTCGTTACTCAGGGGTTTTGGGAGTCACCGATTACGAATTTGATGTCAGTTTTCGAAAATTCAAAATGGCGGATCCAATATGGCGGACACTTTTTGTAAAATTCGTCGGATTCGCTTGAAAATCGTTACTCAGGGGTTTTAGGGGTCCCCCAAAATTGGTCGGATCAATATTAAGATACCTTCAAAATCCACTTGTTTATAAATAAAATTAGTTCTCAAATTTGTTGTTTTTCTAAAAAATACTCTCAGATGATAGAGGAGTTTAAGCATAAATTTTTTTAAAAATTGTATCAACGAAGTGGAGGTATTTTCAAATCGGTATAGCTCACGTAAATCTTAATATTTTTCCGAAATATTTTGAAGGAAGTCTAAAAATATAGTCGATTGTATAATTCCGTTGAAAACCCCGTAAATTTTTTGTGATGCTCCCTAATATACACACATGTTATTAGGGAGGGCATAGGAGTTCCGTTGGCAACCTTGAATAAACGGTCTCACAGTCGGCTCAGCGAGCGCTGGGCGAAAACCCCGACATGCATAGTTGCAAGGTCCTTCTGGCCGGTTGTTGAACGCAAGCGGTCAAGGGAGCTTCTGCAGCTGGATAAGCGAAAGCTTTCGATTCTTGTAGGTGTACTAACTGGGCATTGTCCTTTAGGGACCCATGCGGTGCGACTGAATATCGTCACGGATCTCTGCTGCCGCAGTTGTCTGAAAAAACGAGGTAGAATCATCTCCGCGTTTCCATCTCAGCTGCCCGGCATACGCTAGTCTCAGGTTTAAGCAACTCGGTGAGCATTTCATCAACGCTCCCGTAAAGCTCTCCGGGGTGGGCATCAGCTGTCTGCGGAACTTTGTTGTGAGCACCCAGCGCTTCTCTTTGTTTAACACAGTAGTTGCGTCCCCAACTTTTCTGGGTTAGAACCTGTAAAACTGTCAAAAAGCAAATGAAGCCAGAGAACCGAGTACGGGAACGCTTTCTGGTAAATTCCTGTAAATTCTTACAACTTCTTGCGAGTTAGGGAACGCAACTAGTTACTGTTCGAAGAATTTGTGTAATGTGGTTGCACAGTGGACAATTAAATAATTTCTAAGTGAGTCCTCCTCGAGGGGTATGCCCCAATAACCTAACCTAACCTAACTAGTAATACAGACATAACAGAGAAAATATTATCTTGAAAAGTAAATAACGATTCCCAGGTGCTATAGACAATATCTCAAATGAATCAAATATGGACTAATCGAATAGAGTATTCAATTGCATTTCAGGGAGTAATAGTAGGTATGTACCTCAAGTGCAAGTCTTTAGTTAGCGGTGATTGCATCTAACATAAGTTAAACTGTTGCCAGTCAGATGTACAAATTTTTCGTCATAAATGGAATAATGACATCTTTGTGAAAATTCTCGTGTTTTTGTTCTTGGTTAATGATACATTCTCCCAGGTAGAGAATGTTTTTCCCAACATTGACGTCGCGATTCCAGCAAGTACGGCATTTTTGACAAAACTGGTACCTGTGGGGCGATTTGGACGTCAGGTTTACGTTGTAACATTTTGCGCAAAGTTTGGTTGTTCTGAATTCATTAACCATTAGAATATCTGCATGCCGTTGTTTTAGTGCTGTGATTAGTAACCGATTTGGTGTACGCCTATATCCGCGCATTGGTGAGTTCGAAGCAATCTCTGTTGATCCGATGCAGATTAACGTTTTCTCTTCTTTGTTTGGTATCAGTTGTTGCGCAATTTGGTTGAAGGCTTTTTGTCGGCAAATGTATTTCTTCAGCTTCAGCCGAGCCACCTCTCTCTGCGAGAAATTTTTTTGTTTTTGCTCCAGTATTTCAAGTTGAAATTTACAGTATTCACGGAAGTTCGATGAATTCGCAGACAATTCTGATTGTATCGTGAAATCTTTCGTATATTTATGTAGTTTTATTTCGCGACAATAGAAACCAGAAAGGTGTTGATAGTACGAATTTTTGCTTTTCACAGGAACATTCTTCTGGATGCCAGCAAAAATGAGTCGACACCCAGGATCTAGCCCAATCTTGTTGTCGTATTTTGTTGCGCGTATTTTTATTAGATTACCTTCACAATAATATAATAATATAATGACTACGGAATTTTGATGTAATCCTGAAAACCCTAATTTATGATATAACGACGACGGAATTTTGATGTAATACTGACAATAAACCTGATTTATGATAAAATGACTACGGAATTTTGATGTAATCCTAACAAACCTGATTTATGATATAACGACGACGGAATTTTTATACAATCGCGAGTAAGACGGTAATACTGACCACAACCCTGATATATGTTATAAAACGTAATGTATGCGAAAAAACTTCAAGTTCTACGATAGTTCGTACCGGTCGAATTTTTTTGTGGAAAACGCGAATAAATTTCTGACTGTTCCATAACAATATTTGGATGCACGCATATACTCGGCTCAGGAAATATTTTAAATGTGAGCATGACAAAAAAAAAGTATACATATAGTATACACTGAGCTACCTTTTCGATAAATATTTAAAATGTACTATACCTTGGAGAAAATTGCGCGAAACACCATAATTTTTGCAAATAAAATATCATTGTTTAATTTCGAAAATTTTTTCAAATAACAAGTAACTTTGGCGCTGAAAGGCTTATTACAGCCGATGAGGAAATTGCGTTACGTATCTGCAATGTGCTGCTGCCAATGAATGAATCAGAAAGGATAACACGCATCTATTCATGAGCATATGAGCAACGTAGCATGCTATGACATGGTAAATATCGAATATTTTCAATTTATATATGTACATATTTATAATCGGATATAAAGTTTTAAATACAAATATTTTTTCAGTATTGGATAAATGAATATACTACATCGATAGGAAACTACAAATCCCAGGATACCGGTATAGGCATGACAATGGGCAATTCGGTGTTGGGTTCTATTCTGCCTTTATGGTTGCTGACAAAGTGGAAGTATTTACGCGCTCTTCGAAGGTTAATTCACAGGGATTGAGGTGGGCATCTGATAGATCTGGTTCATATGAAATTCAAGAGGCGGATGGCGTGGCCCATGGTACCAAAATTGTAATTCACTTAAAACCTGAATGCAGGGAATATGTAGATGAGGACCGCATTAGAGGTTGGCATTTTTATTGCTACAGAACAGCGCTTTAGTCAAGTAAGTGACAAAACCCCCAGCTCTCATGGTATTTTGTTTATGGAAATAATTTTTTAACGCCTGCTAAATTGTCACCTTACAAGACACCGAAATATTTCTGCCCCTTATGTATGTACATACTTACATCCTTATGTATAATTGTATATTATTGCGCTAATCGTATTTTGTATTTCACTTTGCATTGTACTGCACTGCTATGCCGCCGAAATAAATAAAAACTTCCCATGACTTTCTTCTAATTATTATCTCCAACGATGCGCAAACAGCACGTTCAACGAGATTTTAACAAAAACTGCCGAATTTTCGGCTGATATTAAATGCCCCGAATAGGCTGATATCTTTGCATGCATTCCTGCAGACACATGTCTGCATTTTGTAAGTCGATCAGAGAGCAGGAAAACAAAGAAAAAAATCGACTTTTAAGAAAAAGAAAGAAACGGAAGCAAACGACGTAATTTTCACTCGCAATTTGTCCAGCGTTCAACACAGCAGCGACTGGCAGCGAAATGTCCACAATGATCACTTAAGTGGCCGCCAGTAAGCGGCGCTTATAGCTTGAGTCGTGAATTCTAGAGAGCCAGTTCGCGATAAACTCTCGGACG